GCAGAAACAAGATTAAATCAAATTATATAAAACACTTTGCAAACCTTGAAGTACTATATAAATGTTAGCTCTTCCTAAAATGGGGGTTGTGGGGTGTATGGAGAATAAGAAGGGGAGGTGACCCAGAAATTTTTCTTTTTATCCCAAACACTCTTGAAGAATCTAGCCATGAAAAAATCATAGTTTTCCACAATAATATAGAAGTGTTCTATGTTCTGCCCCACAGTCATGTGATTTTACAAAAAGCCATTCTTTTAATGGAATGCTTATCTTATTTTTACTGATGTTTTGCTTTAACATCACATTAATTCCCAAGTATGTTCTTCCACCTTCCCCTACCCATAAGCCATCCCCTTTAACAAAGATTAAAACATAAAAAATCTATTTAGCAAAACCAACACATCAATTGAGTTTGTCAGTATATGTACTATTCCATTTCCTTCATAGATCCTTCCATTATTCAAGGAAAAGGCACTGAAGTACATTTTCTCAACTCTTCTCTGAGACCAAGATTGGTCATTACAGCTATATAGTATTCAGTTCATATAAGTTTTCTCATGTTTCTCTGAATTCTTCATATTCATTTCTTTTTTACTATGTGGCAATTTTCATCTGCATGCATATACCATAGGTATTTTATCCACTCCTCAATGAATGGGCACAATTTTTTTTCAATTTCTTTATACAAAGAAATTTCTCCCAAAAAGTTCTCTGATGAATATTTTGGCGTTAAAGTTTCTATCTTTGACATCCTTGGGATATAAACTTGTAGTGGATCTTTGACATCCTTGAGATATAAGCTTGTAGTGGATCTCTGGGTCATTTTAATCACCTTTGGACTATGTCACTATAGACATTTAATCACGATGGACATTTTAGTTACTTTTAAATCAAATTCCAAATTACTTTTCATAATGTTGGCCAGTTCATAATTCTATCAAACTGTAGCAATGTGTCTCTCTTTCCATAGCCTCCTTCAGCCTTGATTATTTGTATATTTTGTCATTGACCAACTTGGGATATTTGAGGTTGAACCTTGAGCTTGTTTTTATGTATGTTTCTTCAGTTTTTCAGTCATTTCTGACTCCTCATGACCTCATTTGGGGTTTTCTTGGCAAAGATACTGGCATAGTTTGCCATTTCCTTCTCCAGCTCATTTTATAGATGAGGAAACTGAAGCAAACAGGGTTTAGTGACTTGCCTGGGATCACACAGCTAGTAAGTGTCTGAGGCCAGATTTGAACTCAGGAAGAAGAGTCTTCCTGGCTATAGGCCCAGCACTATCCACTGTACCACTTAGCTGCCCGTTTTTAGTTATATTTTTTTTTTCGTTTTTAGTGATTTGAGACATTCTTTCATATGACATTTAATAGTTTGGAATTCTTCTTTTGAGAACTGCTTATTCATTTCCTTTGACTACTTATTGAGGGAAATCTTTTTGGACCTATCTGTCTATCTAGATATAGACACATAGTAGATGCCTACAAGTTTTGGATATCAGACTTTTTTTGGAGATATCTGATACAAATATTTTTTCCAGCTGACTACATACCTTTCCATTCTAGTGGTATTAATATTATTCTTGCAAAACTTTAAAATTTAATGTAATATAGATTGTCTGTTTTTGTGATTGTCTCTAACCTTTATTAGAAAGTTAAGAATTTGTCTACCCATTGTTGTTAAAGGTGTCCAGTCTGGTTTTTTTCTAATTCTTTTGTGATATGATTGTTACTATTCAGGCCATATTGCCATTTTGAGTTTATTGTAGGACATGGTAGAAAGGGCTGGTCTAAACCTAATTTTGGGAAGTCAGACTGCTTTCCATTTTTTCCCATCAATTCTTATCAACTGGATTTTTTTTTTGCATAGTGGTCAATGATCTCTAATTCTTCCCTACATGGTCTGTTCCATTTAAAATCCTACAATTTGGGTTCTTTTAGTCCAAATAATTATTTGACTTACCTTGAAAAAACCTCTTTAACCTCCATCACAGGATACCATTCTGTGGTCTCTGAAAATGAAAGGGTTGAATGGAGAAGATTGAAAGGGGTTAGTGACTTTTGTTTCACTTCTTTTTTTGTTCTGTTTTCCTGCCTTCCCTACAATATCATGAATGTTGACTTCAAAAAGAGATACATAAGTTCACAGACATTGTAAGAGCTGAACATCATCAATGTGAAATTATTTCTTTTTTCTTTTTCTTTTTTTGGTGAGGCAATTGGGGTTAAGTGACTTGCCCAGAGTCACACAGCTAGTGAGTGTTATGTGTCTGACGCCAGATTTGAACTCAGGTCCTCCTAACTCCAGGGCCAGTCCTCTATCCACTACACCACCTAGCTGCCCCTGTGAAATTATTTCTTAATAGACAATTTGATTCAATTCGACAAGCTTTTATGTGCCAGGCTACTGTAGCTACTATGTGCCAGGCACTGAGCTGGGTGCTAGGGATAAAAAGAAAAAAAAATAGTACCTGCTCTTAAGGAGCTTGCATTTTATTGAGGTGCGGGGAGAAATTATTCATAATTGTTTTGGGGATAATGTAATTTGCTGTATGTGCAGTCAGATCAAAGAACAAAAGTAAAAATCAACTTAAGAAGTAAGGTTAAAGTTAAGAAGATATTGCAAATAACAGCAGCAGCTTCAGCATGACCAATTCAGATGAACCATTAATGCAGGAAAATGGGAAATGATGACAACAATATTGACCTTGATTATCACTTTTTTTCTGTAAACGCTGAACCGATAAAAGTAATCATCATGAGAAGGCTATAGAAGCCCAGAAACCACCACTGTCAAACAAACACTTGATCTCCTTGCCAGATGTAGAAAGATGGCAGCAAAGAACCACACCAGTTTATAAAACAACTTCATTTAAAAAAAAAAAAACCAGACATGATGGCAGACAACAGAAGGTTGAGTTGTAATATTGATTTTTTTTTAAAAGGCAAAAATAGGGTAAGTGAAAGTAAATCTACAGAAAGCTTGGCACAAGACCCAAATAAACCATATCATCTTAAGAACATTTATAGGCAAAATGGGCTGGAAAAGAATAGGTGGAAAATGGAAGAAATTTTTCACTTTTTCTACAATGATCCATTTTTATTATGCTTGAAAGAGAAACAAGTATATTTAGACCCTAACATTTTAGTCAGTGATATCTATATAAACAAGCTGAAAAGGCAGTGAAGAAAATGAAATTAGAAATAGTGCCTAGATGAAACAATTACATTCTTAGAAAGTTCATCACGGAGGCAACAGAATTGTGGAAGGACCAAAGGTTCAGTTTATATGATTATATGACATCTCAAGGAGGGGAAAATACCAAAAAAAATTTTTTTAAAAAGATAGTCATATTAACCAAAAAAAGAATTGAGAAAGTATCAATAACTGGCAACCCATGTGTCTACTTTCTTATCTTTATGATCTACCCACATATCAATGATAATACCTGATAAATATATGAAGAGAGAATAGATAGGTTTTCATGAATATTTCTCTACAGCAAATTATATTTTTACATGCATATATTTGGATTAAAAAGTCCTGAAAATTAAAGATTATTAATGTAAGTTGTTAATAAATTTTTTTAAACATTTGTCTCAGAAGTCTTTAATAAGGAGTCTCCTGGACTTATGTTAAAATTATGTAAGAGTCCTTGATAGAGATCTCTGTTCCATAACCTTCTGCTTATTAATTCCATGGAAATCATAGAAGAGGGAAATGTATGCTCACCAAAGGTATTTGCCAGTGTTATAAGGGATGTGATAAGTCAATAAGCCTAACAGCTTTTCAGTCTTACAGACACATTTCTATGTCTGTAGAGATTCATCACATACAATGCAAAAATGAGCAAAAGTGAATTTTCTGATTTCATTTCAGCAGAAAGTTTTCACCATAAACATGGTTTTCTCTTTACGTGGTTTGGCTCAATACTATCAAACCTTAACTTCTTAATCACATTTAAATGTTTTTGTGTTTTTATGTGAGTGTGAGGAGTAGCAAGACGGTTAGTTTAACTGGCAGGTAGAGAGCAGGAAGGGGCATAATGTATAACAAGTCTGGAAAGGCAGGTTGTGGACAAGTTGAAGGGCTTTACATGCCAACCAGAGGAGTTTGTATCTGATAGAGATAACAGGAACCACAGGAGTTTATGGAGCAGGAGAAAGACTAGAGGGAGACCAAGTAGGAGGCTGTTGCAATAGTCCAGGTAAGAGTTGATGGGGACCTAAGCTTGAGTGGTTTTTATTTGAGTAGAATGAAGAGGATAGATGGGAAAGAAGTTGCAGAGATAAAAGTGACTAGATTTGTCAACAGCTTTGATTATGTGGGGCGACTGAATGTGAGGAATACTACAGGAGGTAGTGGAAGTTAAACATTGGTACTATTTGGGAAAAGATACTATAATAAGATTCTTAAAGGCAGATAAAAATCCATGCATACCTTTGCCAGTTAAGAGGTCCCTTGATCACTGGGTGACTACCACAGGGCTTGCCCTCTGAATGGTGCTTGGAAAGCAACAGGCTGATCGGGGAAGCAACTTGTGGGTATACTGTATGAATGTGGGCAGGTTTTCCCAATGGCACCTGCACAGCTACTGTTATGGGTGTTTGGGGTGAGGTGAGATTTCTTTGAAGGTTTTGCCCTAGAAACAGAAGGGGGGAGTTTGTGCAGATCTGGGATCAGCGGGAGTAAGGCTATGTTTGGGGTTAAAGAGGCCATGCCAGGACCCCCTTGGGGTTGTGCAACAGCCTCTCAGGGGATTGGAACCCTTATTTTGTAAACTTCTGATTTAAGTAAACTGTTCTGTGGTCTTGAAAATTCTTCTATGTCTAATTTAGAATTGTAATGTATAGTTTTACAATTATATAGAAATAAGACAAAGGAATTTTTTTAAAAAACCTTATTTTTATGAGAAATATTTCCACATGGGGCTACATAGATGCTTATTTTCTATTAATGGTATTCCTGATTATTTTCATGTTTTCTTTCTGTTTCTTTAGGCCAATAAATCTTCCTACAGAGGATGGGACTTTTATAAAGGAATTCGAAGGATTGTTCTCCCAAGGGCTCAAAGATCCTTTCTATGGACCCATATTACCACTTTCTGCTGTTGCTGGGCTAGTTGGTATAGAAGCAGAAAACTTCAGGGTAATTGCCAACACACTCTTTTCTCAATAATCCGATCCATACTATTCTATTAAAGGTGCCCTTACACTAAACTAGGAAGTTGGGTTCTAAGGAAACAGTCATTACTAAAACACAGGAAATACTTGTTCTTATGTCACTCTAACTCTTCAGATGAAATTCAATCCAATTCAGCACATATTTGTGAAGTCCCTCTTGTACTGTGTGTAGAGCACTGGGCGAGGAACGGGAGAAATAAGCTATGACCTCATGGAGAAGAGATGTCTAACCAGTTCTTTATTCTTTTTCTTGATCATTCTGTAAAATGGGAATAATAATAGCTATATAATTTACAGGTCTGTTCTGAGGCTCAAATCATATAGTAGATACCAAAGTTTTTTGAAAACCATAAATCACAGTATAAATGTCAGCCAATATTTGTTATTTACTAGTTTGGGGTATAGGAACAGATCTTTAACTTTAGTTGCCGATGTTCCTTTGAGAGTACAGTTCATTGCGCATGAAGCTTTATGAAAGAAACTTCATTTATGCATATCCCTAATATAATATTGGACTTATCTTAATAGCTATTTGAACATATTTTAAATATTTGTCTTTTGGGAATGGAGGCTTAGCTGCCATACAAATACTACTTTAAAGTACATCTCTCTCTCTCTCTTTCTCTCTTAGGTTTTCAAAAATAATTTCTTTTGCCTTCATATAGTATATTGACTTTGTTCTGGGTTTTTTAGCCCATACTTCTTAATTATGTATATAGTTCATTCTAACATCTCACATCCACCTTTCTCATTCTTGAGAAGACTTCTGTGATCCTGATTTACGCCCCCGGTATGCAATTTCTGTCCTTCTTCTGGCACCTCATGTTTTTTGCCTACAATTCCCAACATATCTCTCTCACCTCCTCTTAGAGAGCTATCCCTCACAATAATAAATAACAAAAGATGAATAAAGAAAAAATTGGTTTAATAAATCCAACCAACATATCAGAAAAGTGTGACATACACAGTATTCTAAGCCCACTCTTTCCTACTTCTTCAAAGGAGATGCTTTTTCACATCTCTTCTTTGGGGCCAAGCTTGTTCCTTGTAATTTTGCAATATTCAGTTTTGATTGTTTTGTTGTTGTTTTACTTTTCACTTCCATTGTGGTAGTACATTCTATGTATATTATTTCTTAGTTTTGCTTACTTCACTTTGCATCAGTTCACTTAAGTCTTTCTAAGCTTTTCTGTATTCATCATATTTATTTTTTTACAGCATGGTAATATTCCATTACAAAATGTACCACAATTTATTTAGCCATTCTTCAATTAATGGGCATCTATCTACTTTGCTTCCAGCTTTTTATTACCTCAAAAATGCTGCTATAAATATTTTGGGGTATATGGAACCATTCTTTTTGTCATGGATTCCCTGTGGATATTTCATGAGCAGTGGGGTCTCATGGGTCAAAAAGTATGAACATTTTGGCTACTTCTTTGCACAATTCCAAATTGCTTTCTAGAACGGCTATACTAATTTAAAGTTCCAGCAATAATGCATTAGTGTACCAATTCTTCCACAGGCCATCTAAAATTAAGTATTCTCATTTTTTGTTATTCTTACCAATTTACTGGGTTGGAATTAAAGCTCTTTTGTTTTGGTTCGTATTTCTCTTATTATTACTGACAGAGAATTCTTTTATATGACTGTTAATAATTTGTGATTTTTCTTTTTAGAACTATTTATTTATATGCTTTGACCATTTATCTTTTAGGGGATGGCTTTTTGTCATATATGTATGTATATATATGTGTATATATAAAAAATTTTGAGTTCCAAATTGTCTCCCTCTCGCTTAACCCTTCCTCCCTCCATTGAGAAGGCAAGCAATATGACAGCAATTACATATGTGAAATCACACAAAACATACTAGTCATGTTGCAAAAAAAGCAAAAAAAAAAAAAAGTGAAAAAACTGTACTTTAATTTGTACTCAGAGTTTATCATTTCTCTTTCTGGAAGTGGATAGCATTTTTGTCAAAAGTCATTTGGAATTGTCTTGGATCATGTATTGACCAGAGTAGCTAGTCTATCACAGTTGATCACTGGCACAATATTGCTTGGGAGCCATCTCCAATTGTCCTGATCTATTTCTTGTCACTGAACCCAGACGGCTCCAGAGGAGAAAGTGACCTATGTACTTAGTACACTTTTTAAGAAATCTGTGATATTACTTTATTATCTATATTTATCTATATTATCTAAATATTATCTATTTTAACAAAATGTAGTTTCCCTGCTTATTTATTTTAATTAAATTTATTTTTGCTTTTGCTTTGTTTGAGATCATGATTGCTACACCTGCTTTTTTCACCTCACCTGAAGCAAATAAGATTTTCTTCCAGACCTTTATTTTAACTCTTATGTGTGTCTTTCTATTTCAAATATGTTTCTTGTAAAAAACATATTGTTGGATATTGGTTTCTAATCTATTCTGCTATCCACTTCTGTTTTATTGGAGTTCATCTCATTCATATTCACAGTTATGATTACTAACTGAACATTTCCCTCCAACCTATTTTCTTCATTTATCTATCTCATTCTCTTTTTACCTTATCCCTTCTGAAAAGTCTATTTTGCTTCTGACCATTGTTTCCCTTAATCTGCCCTCCCTTTTATCATCCCCTCTTTATCTTATTCCCTTCCCCTCTTTCATCCCTGTTAGGTAAGATAAGATTTCTATATCCAGTTGAGTTGTGTATATATATATATATATATACATATATATATATATATACATACATATACATACATATTCTTCCTTTTTTGAACCAATTCTGATGAGTGAGGTTCAAGTATTACCTGCCACCCCCCCATTTTCCCTCCATTGTAAAAGCTTTTCCTTACACTCCTTTATGTAAGAGAATTTCCTCAATTTTTCCTCTTCTTCCCCCCTTTTTCCAGTGCATCCCTCTTTCTCATTCCTCCATTTTTTTAGATCATCCCAACATAATTGGCTCACAGTTATGACCTATCTATGTAGATGCCTTCCAGCAGTCCTAATAATGATAAGATTCTTGGTAGTTACATTTCTCATTTACTCATAAAGGAATGTAAACAGTTTAGCCCTTTTAAGTCTCTTATTATTTCTCTTTCATGTTTACCTTTTTATGCTTTGATTGAATCTTGTGTTTGAAAGTCGAATTTTCTATTCAGTTGGTCTTTTCATTGGGAATGTTTGAAAATCCTCTATTTCATTAAATATCCATTTTTCCCCTGAAGGATTATACTGAATTTTGCTGGGTAGGTTATTCTTGGTTGTAATCTTAGCTCCTTTGCCTTCTGGAATATAATATTCTAAACTCAATATTCCTTTAATGTGGAAGTACCTAAATCTTGTGTGATTCCAATGGTGGCTCCATGATATTTGAACTGTTTCTTTCTGGCTGCTTGAAGTATTTTCTCCTTTACTGGGAGCTCTGGAATTTTGCTATGATATTCCTGAGAGTTTTCATTTTGAGAATTCTTCCAGGAGATAATCAATGGATTCTTTCTATTTCTATTTTACCCTCTGGATCCAAAATATCAGTACAATTTTCTTAAAGTATGAGGTAAAGGCTCTTTTTTTCTGTTCATAGCTTTCTGCTAGTCCAATAATTCTTAAATTACTCTCCTTGATCTATTTTCCATCTCAACTCTTTTTCCAATGAGATATTTCACATTTTCTTCTATTTTTTTTAACTCTTTCGATTTTGTTTTATATTATCTTGATGTCTTTTGGAGTCATTAGCTTCTGCTTGTCCAATTTTAATTTTTTCATTTTTTGGTGAGGCAATTGGGGTGTAAGCAACTTGCCCAGGGTCACACAGCTAGTAAGTGTTAAGTGTCTTGAGGCTGGATTTGAACTCAGATCCTCCTGACTCTAGGTCCAGTGCTCTATCACTGCACCACCTAACTGCCCCCTAATTATAATTTTCAAAGTATTATTTTCTTCAGTGAGCTTGTGTACCTCTTTTTCCATTTGGCCCATTCTACTTTTTTTCCATTCTACTTTTTAAGGAGTTCTTTTTATTCAGTGAATTTTTGTACCTCTTTTACCACAGGCCAGTTCTGTTTTTTAAGGTGTTATTTTCTTTAGTATTTTTTGTGCCTCTTTTTTCAAACTATTGGTATTCTTTTCATAATTTTCTTGCATCATGCTCATGTTTTTCAATTTTTCCTTGACCTGTCATCTTTTTATTTAGTGCTATCAGGAATTCTTGTTGGGCTTGTGTCCAATTTGTATTTCATTTTCTTTGAGGCTTTGTTTGTAGCTGTTTTCTTGTTGTTTTCTGAGTTTGTGTCTTGATCTTCCTTGTCACCATAGTAGCTTTTTAATGGTCAGGTTAGTTTTCTGTTGTTTGCCCATTTTCCAGCATATTTCTTAACTTTGAAGTTTGTGTTAAAGTTGGGCTCTGCTCACCTGGGGTGGACAGCCATTTTTCACACTGCTGTTTTCAAAGCCAGTTCTGGGGGTCTGTGAGTTTTTGGTGCTTCCAAGGTGGTATGATCTGGGAGAGGCGTAGTCACTGTTCTCCTGGCCTGTGATCTGCTCTTTACCTAGGAAGTGCTCTTGCTCCCCTGCAGCTACAAGGGCTAGTGCTCTTCTCTGCCCTGGAACTGCCTATGGGCAATGCGGTTGCCAAATGGCACCCACCTTCAGCACAGGGACCTCTGTAATCTCTTTCTGACCAGTTGTCCAGTCCTCTTACTGTTTCTGGATAGAGAGTGCCTTAAGCTGCTGCTGATGCTATCACAGCCTCTCCAAGGCCCGAGATTGGTGTTTTTGCTGCCTGTGCTCTGGCCTAACCCCACCACAGTGTCACAGACCTCTTCTCCCAACCTCCTAAGTTGTCTTGGGCCAGAAAAAATGTCTTACTCTAACCTTTGTTAGCTATGCTGCTCCAGAATTTGACTTGATGCATTATTTTTTCTAGGTTGCTGCCTCTATTCCAGCATCTTGACAGGTCACCACACATTCCCA